TACTTGAATAAAAACACATTAAGTAATATTAGATTAATATTCTTTAAGAAAATGAATTATTAACGATCCATTTAATGATACTAAATTAATAATTCAAGTAATATTGAATAAATTAAATTTAATAAAAAGACATGTAAAAATTATTTGGTTCTACGTATGATTATCTAACAATAAGTTTAAATTAAGCAAGTACAATTAGTCATCCTGGTATTTGTAAAATTTAAATTATAGCTTCTTATGTAAAAGAAGGAACAGGGAAATAAGGGATTAGAAAGATATATGGAAATGGAGGTGGTGGAGTACCATTTGATTAATTTGAATAACAAATGCTAGCCTAATTGAAATAAAAACTAAATGGAATGGCTAGGTATTAGTTTAATGTGAAAAAAAAATAGTCATTATCCTGATATATTATTATATCGTTTCTTGTATTCATTTCGTTTTAGTTTAGATGATACTTATAATGGAATCAAGAATCATGAGGAATGGTTGAATAATCCTTCAACATTCTAATTGAATAGTGGATCCTAGGCGATATTGGTATTGTTATAAGATTGAATTCTAGGACAAAGGAATTATTTATTTGGGTGGAAGGGATAAAAAATATAGACCTTCAGTGATTTTCTAGGTAGGTTTGATTGATTAAAAAAATATAAAAGTTGAAGAATTTTTAGCAGCTTTAAACACCGTTTTTATGATAACATAACAATATTGTTTTTATGAAGGATATGTTGAAAATTGGATAATATTGATTGATACAGCTGAATTAGGTCTATTAAGTTTACCTGTTGAAATTTTAAAGAAGATTATCTCAACAGCTGCTGCACATTATGTTGGAAATTTAGAAAAATTATATCTCTTAAATCCATCAATGGGTCTTAATATGTCATGGAGTTTAGTATCTAGTAATTCAATTATTTATTATTCTTAGAATTTATTGATGATAGATCTAATAAAAAAATATAATTCCTCTAAAAAAAAGAATTCTCAAAATTATAAGAATATTTTGATCCAAGTTAATTAGAAGTATAATTTGGAGGAACCATGCCTAAAATTAAATAATATTGGCCTCCATAACCAACTATTTAAATTGAAAAACCTTAATTATAAAAGTCATCATATTAAATTTAAAATAATGAACATTATGAACCAAGTATTAGATCATAAAAATCAAAACGATCAGAATCATATAATTAATAACAATATTAAACATATTAAGCACCATTCAAAAAACCATAATAAGAATACAATCTATAAGAATCTAAAAAATAAGAATATTATGATTCCACATTAAATCTACCAGTTGTATAACCAACTTAATAAACACCTAATAAATTTATACAATCAATATAAATTGAAGAAAGACCATCTCAATTAACATAGAATTTTGGTTATGAAAGCAGTATATAAAAACCATAAAGATTAGAATTTTAAAAAATTAATTCAGAGTCATCTCGTGAAATTTAACAAATGTCTTTCTAAGATTTACATTTTGCTTCATAACCATAATCTAATTAATAATCAAATCATGGAAAATAGAGTTATAGATAAAATATAGAAGATAGACAACTTTCTAAATTTCCAGTCATTGAAGAAGAACCTTATGAAAGGAAAAGTTAATTCATACAATAATCTAATGCATTCCCTAGTGAATCTAAAAATTTCGTTGAAGAACCTTTGGATTCAAATCAATTTAGATAATCTCAAACTTTAAGAAAATCCTATAAATAATATCATTTTTCAAAATCAGAATTTCATCCACCATATCCCAATGCTTTGCCTTAAGGACCAGTAGTTTTAGGAACTTCAAAGATTTAAGAAGAACCATTGTAGAAAAAGGAAAATAAGTTTATACCTTAATCTAATTATTAATAAGCTAAACCATAAGAAATCAAACAATATTAAATGAATTTTCAATAATAAGAATTATAAGCTCCACCATAATATAGTCTTAAAAAGAAAACTGTTCATTTTTAAGCAAGAGATGGTAAATACACAGCTTGTGATATTTTTTGATTTTTATTATACTAACAAATCTTACGAATTTTATATCATTATAATTAGATATATATTTATATAAGTAAAATAGAGCAATTAATCATTAGAATTCACCCCATTCATCTTCATCTATTGCACCATATAAAGATATCTTTAAATCTTTTATAGTTGGTCTCTTCTTTGGATCTTATTACAACATCTTTTGGATTAAAGTAACTGTACTAATTGAAATTTAAGATTAAGGAATTTCAAATATAGCTTATGCTATTCCAATTTTGTTCATTTCTGAGAATGCTGATTTGCGAAAGCATAAACTATACAAAATACATCCCAATTACCAAATATCTACTTTTGTATCTACAACCTATCTCGTTAGTACATCTATCATTTCTGGTGGTCTATATGTTATTGTAGTTGTTTATGAAAATAATTCCTCTTGTTATTGTAATTATGCTTTATTTAATTAGCTAAGATCAATTATTTCATTTGATCCTGATCCAAAATCACATAATTTAAATGTTTCACCCTGTATTAATATATTTTCAAGTTTTAAATCTCTATGACTAATCTATTCTGCATGCAATACTTCCAATCCATCAAGAATTTATTTAAATATATCTAAAATCCTTCTTTCAGTTAATATTTCATTTTATAAAACACTAAATAAATTGCTTTAGCAAAGTTCCATTACTAAACAAACAAACATTTTGTTTTGTATTTTTATTTCACCAAAATCAAATAACTTTACTATATTTGGATGTTCTGGCAATTTCGTCTATGCTCATTCAATATTTATACCATTATTCTTATTTCTTACATAGCCATTTTATAGACTTCCTAAGATTAAATTAAAATTCTTTTGATCGCAAAATTTTCACATTTCCATATATATGCATATCCCCCTTCTGCTATTATATTTTCCTCTCTATATTTTCGGTTTCTTAACTTGTAACTTTAGGCTTTACTAACAGGATCAGATTTTCTTGTTAAACATTTCAGCATTTCAATTAAACAAATTTAATAATACTTATGTCATAAAACTTATTTTTTTGAGGTTCATTGAATTATCATTAAATAAGATTTTAATATTATATTAATTATTTACAAAATTGCTCAAATTTAAATCTATATTATCTGAATTCTGTTTAAACTCTCATTATTTTATAAATCCAATACTAAAAGTTATATAATTCAAATATATTTTGTTTTTATCATTATTTTATTTTAAAATATGATCCTCTAAGAATATATCCACCTCAATACTTAATTATAAAAATAATTCTCCTTTATTTAAGATTATTGATTCGATTCAAATTTTACAATTTATATATTTAGATAAAGAAGAATATATTTTTGTATATATATTCTGCTTATTTTTTTTTAGCATTTTTATAGAGAAGCAATTTATTTATTAATGAATCTCTATCATTTAAATTAAATTAGCTAAATTTTATTAAATTCTCTACAAATTATATATTGATAAATTTAATAGAAATATAAAATATTGAAGCTATTAAGCGGTCAACCAATAATATATAATTTATTTTCAACGAAATTCATATCCACAATCCTCCTTTTTACTACATAATAGCTAAAATTGTAACATTAGGTAAGACTCCCTATTGGGTCAATGGAATTTTAGGTTTTAATGTTTCTTATCCTAATGAAAAATGAACCTCCTCAAAACTTACCTACAAAACTCCTTGCATTGTTTAATATAGATCTAATGTTGTCATAAAATCATTAATTTCTATTGTGTACATTTTATTCTGGATAGGCTATTTTACTGTGACCGTGAAAATTAATGATATAATAATGATTGAGCCTTTAACAATTTTTTACTACAATAACGGAGTATTATGATCAAGAAGCTTGTTATTATAAAAAAATCTGAGTTTATCCTCATTTCTAAAAAATTGTTCTTTGAATTCCGACTCTAAATCAAATGGAGTGACATCTGATGTAATTTAGATATTATAAACTTTATTCTTTGATGGGCAATTTAGAATAATAGGTATTTGATCCATAAAATTTTTATTAATTATTAAAGAATAGACTTTTAAATTCTCCTTATATTGTTGTATATATATACATACTTATAAATCATAGAAAATCAGTTAATTAGATAAGTCAATTTAAAACTTCTTAATTTTTTAACCAATATTCTTCTTTGATTCTTATTAATTAGAACTTTTTTATTTATTTATATTTATTATGAAATTAAAATTGTTTCAAATGAGCGCACTAAATAGTTCTATGATCATTCTATTCAAATAACTTAGTAGCTAAATTACAATTTACAAACTAAATTTGATATCTAATAGTAAATTTGCTCAATCTAATTATTGAAGTTTAAATATCATCAATGATGCTTTACTAATAAAAAGTTGAGTAAAATCACAATCTTTCTTAAGCATATATAGTATATAAAAGAGTTTAACTTTATAATTTTGATTTCTTAAGAGAAAATATTTAAAAAATAAGAATAAATCATATATACTATGATAAACTTAGATATTAAGTAATTTTTATAAGAATTATTCACATCATTATTAATATTCTAATTAGTGCTTTGGAAACAACTAGAACTAATTTTTATACTTATTTTTTTATAATATAAAGAGCTCCTATAGAATTTAAAAAAAATTAGATTATTTGTTATAACAAGCATAAAATACTTTATATTATTTTAAAAAAAAACAAATGAACGATATTTAGAATGAAAAGGCCAATAATTAGCAATAATCTGCTCGATTCAATAAGTAGGAAGATTATTAGCTAAATTCAATTATTGATTTTTAGACCATAATCACCAACAAAATACAAATATTTTAAAACAATTTAAATTAATTAGTTAATTTAATTCAAGGGAAGTTACTTGATTAAAGAGAAAGAGTTGAAGAAAATGATTTTTTTGAAGAAATTCTATTATATTGTCAGCCTTATCTTGAAAATAAAATTAATGAATGCTAACAATTAATAGAATTAAAATAAATCTAATTAAAAACTTATTTTTAAAATTGTAGGATGAAATAGGAAGTAAAAATTCCAACAGAAGTTGAATGCTAAACAATTAACAATTTAAAGAGTAATAGAATTTAAATTGAATTAAAGTAAGTAATTAAATAAGAAGAAATATGTTGTACTCTTATAATTAACAAATCAAATACAATTTTGATATCAGGAAGTGGAGAATAAATAAAATTATGGAAGATTAAAGATGGTGAAATTTAAAATAATCCATTAATTTTAATTGGACATACTTAAATAGTTACTAGTCTTTTATATAGCGATAATGAAAGATATTTTATATCTGGAAGTTACGATGGTAATATTCGATTGTGGAGGAAAGCTCAACCAAATATTTGGTCATCAAAAAATTATTTTATTCATTAATAAGGAGTTTTCGGATTATTATTAAGCAAAATTAATCAGTAAATTATTAGTTTTGGAAAGGATTCTATAATTAATATTATTTAGTGTTGTACTAATTATGAATTAAAGATAAGTTAGAAATTAAATAAACATTAAACTATTATAAATTGTGTTTGCATTAATGAATCTGAATCTGTTTTAGCTTCATCTGATGATTAAAAACAAATAATTATTTGGGTAAAGGATGAAAAGTTTTAATGGTAATTCAAATAAATAGTAAATCAATCTACAAATGATTTCTTTACTCGTATGGTTTTTGTAGATAATTATCTTATCTGTTAATAATGGAGTTAACCAATATCATAAGTATTTAATGAACAAGATGGATATTACAAATAAAGAGTTGATCTTCAAATTAATTTATCTGAATAAATATGTGACGAAGATCTACTCTTTCCTTCTATCTATCATAAAAAAACAGGAATTTTAATTTAAAAATATGGTAAATATGTTTATATCCTCAAACTATAAAAAGAATTTTAATTCATTTAAGCTTGTTCGCCTATTGATTGTTTTGATCCATATAATTATGGAAATCTCATAGAGGATGGAAGGCTTTTATTAATCTGGAATGATTATACAAAGGAAATTCGCATTTATGAATTGAATTTATTTTGAAAATTACAAATTTATTTCAGGATGCTAAAATGATTTTAATTATTAAAAAATTTAACCAAGAGATCATAAGTTTATTCATTCCTAACAGCAAATCATAAATCTAATTTAAAATAATTAAGTGACGGCAAATAAAAATATTATACTATTCCTTTGTAGAATTTATTTGTTAGCTATAATTATTTTAATTATTCAATTTTTTGTTGATGTTATAAAAAGATGTTTTATTAATAGATAGAAATCTTAAAAAAAATGATTTTTTTAAATAATAAAAAAATTAGTTTGTTTATTAGACTTCTCAAATTTGTTTATAAAGTATTGTTTAAGAAGGGCATATAAACAATTTGTATTTTTAAATCATAATTAATGGTTAAACGATACTCATGCTTTTAATATTTTTAATAAAGCAATTTATCTTAGAAATAAATTTAACTTTTGTTTTATGAATGAGAATTTGATAGATAGCGCTAACTAATATGTTTTGTATAGCATCAACTGAGGACTCAATTATTTGTACTAAAAAGATTTTTAATTTAAACACAACAACTTTTATATTTTATAAGTTTGAGACTAAAATTTTTCTAAATCTTAAAAACTGAATTTTTTTAAGATTATTCAATATATAATAACATTTATAGAATTAGTTATTTTAATTTTAATTCAAATTCTGAAAAGAAAAAGAGTCCATATGATGAATTTTATTATCTTTATAAATGATTATTAGGGTTTTGATATAAATTTCATTAATAAAATGTTATTTATAATACTTTTAGTGAATTAAGTTCTAACTCTTTAAATAGGAAAAGTAACTTTTGATGTTTTATTCCCACATGACAAAAGATTGGCTTTTATTTAGTTTGACTAAAAATTTGAATAGATTCCTTAAGTAGGTATATCTCTGATAGCATTACACGTTAATAATGAGGTTCCTAGAAATATAGGAATTGAACCTAAACTATTATAAATCACTTAATAGGGTATTAGAAATATGTTATAAAGGATTTCAACTGTAAATAACAAATCATAAATCAAAAATTGATCATCTCGAATATTAATGGTTAGCAGTAATTGATGATAGATTGAAAGTAAATTGTGAAACGATTTAAAAGACTACGACTATAAATTTTGGAAGGTATTAAAAAAATATTAAGTTGAAAGAGAATTTTGGGTGACACCAACTATTTAAATATTTTTGGCAGGATTTCAGAAAGAATCATAGAAAGGAGATTTAAAGTTTTAATTATCGATAAGCAAATAATAAGTTAATAGTTTTGAGATAGATTTGAATAATTAATCAGAGCATATTTTAAAGGACTTATAAATTTGGTATAAAAATAATAAATTAAATATGTTAGTTATATAGCAGGGCCATAAAATATTGTAAAATCAAAATCATTGATAAATATAAATTAAAAGACAGATGAATTTGTAGATTTGGAAGGAACTCCCGAGAATTTGATTTATGGAGTAAGTAAAATATCAAATTTTTATGGAGCCTTAATGATTCAATTAGGATAATTTGAATATGAATAAGAAAAGCCTGGTGTTGGAATAAGTAAGGAAATTAATTTGAATGATTGTTAGGTTAGATTGACATGAGTTTAGGAATGATTTAAAATGATGGAATGTAATGTCCAATAGGATATTATGAATGTAATTTTATGGGAGTATCAATTGATCTTTGTGACAATTCAAATGGTTCTTAAGCTTGGAAGAGAATTAAATCGATAAAGAATAGAAAAGGATGGAATGGCAAATTTAAAATTGATGGAAAGACATTGAAAACTTAAGATGCTGGTTGCATTTAAGATATATAATTATATTTAGAAGCATGATGATAGTTTAATAAAAATGGAATGAAAACAATATAATATTTAAATAATTAAAATTAATTAATGATTATTCCAATAAGGTGTTTTACATGCGGAAAGGTAATACAATGTTAATTGAATGAATTAGGTAGTGGGTCATTTATGGAATGATTATGTTCAATTGCTTTAGGATGGTGTATCTACAGGAGACTCTTTAGATAGATTAGGATTAGAGAGATATTGTTGTAGAAGAATGATATTAACACATGTAGATTTAATAGACAAATTGCTAAATTATAATAGTAAAAACTTAAGTGTAATTTTAGTTTACAAAACACTGTGACCATCTGAATTTTTATTAGCAGAATTTTAGTTCATTATTTTATATTTATATTTATCTAATTGATATCATAATTTAGTTTCATAAATATACACTTTTAATAACAGAGTTGGTATATTTGCTACCTTTTGTAATCTTTATTTATCAATGATTTTTAGTGAAGATTGTTTAAGTAATTCCTCGAATGCTTTTTCAGACTCCATGTGTAAGTCTATACTTGTTATATATTTCAAACTTTCACTAAAATGTGAATCACTTAAAGTTAGCATAAAATAAATGATTCCATCTGGATTTAACAATGATTTAGCTATTTAAAGAGCTTCTTATTATTGATGAAGTATGGGAAAAGATGAAGAAAAGACAATTGCATCAAATTTTCCATGAATATCAGGGTTCATTTTGTAGAAATCCAATTCTACTATTTTCACTTAGGGTTTGTCTTTAAATAATTGGATTGCTTTGTTTAAATATGTATGATCTATATCAATTGCAGTAATCTCACACTCTAGAGGAAATTAATTGATAACTTTGTGGAGAGGAACTCCAGTACCAACTCCAACATCCAAAATTCTTTTCTATTTTCCAGTAATTCTTTCACTTAACTTTTCATATGTTAATGAAGTAATTGGATGAGAAATGAATGTGTCATATAGAGTTGTACTTGAATAATCTAATACCTCTTTTACAGTTTAATAGACTGCTTAAAATGATTATCTGGCAAATGAATAAATCATATTATAAAAATAATGCATTTGAAATAAAATAGTACAATTTATAAAGTATAGCAATTGTTAATCTAAATATATATATGTAATATATGAATATATAAAATATCAATATAAAATTTCATTCACATTAATATATTATCATATACAAAATTTGATGAAAAAATTGCTATTATTGATTGCATCACTTAATTATGTCTTAAGTTAAACTGCAACTTGTGCATCATAAAGTTCATCAACATGCAATGGTACGGGATATTGCTATTGGACAACCACTTGTATAATGGCTGAATGCCATAAAGTTACTGATATAAGAGCTTGTAGAACAGGAGGACATTTGAAAACAAATAATAAATGCACAGAGATAACATCAATTGATCCAAACTTTTTGAACTAATGTATGGAAAATGATTAAACTACTTTGATGTATTCTTATGTAAGATTTCCTACAGATATTACCTAATTATTCTCATCCAAAACATCAAGTGGTTATTTAGTGACAACAATAATGACTGCTAAGTACACTTCATAATATAAATATGAAATATTAACAGTTAACATATTGAGTGCCACTACATCAGAATTATTAAACATTATGAATGCATATGTTCAAATGTAATATGATTTAGCTGATCCAGAGATTCATCCTCTTTATTTAGAGAAGGCCATCTATGAATCTATGTAAGCAATTAGAGATGATGTAACATTAACTCTTACTGGTACTACAAAAAGACAAGATTATTACACTGTCTTGTGGAGAATGACAGATGCTTACTTTCTTAAATTAAGAGCATACCAACCTTTCTATATTTCTAATAAATATTTAATCAATTTTGGATTTTCACATTTCAATCGTTTTTCTCTAACACTAACATCTTAATATTAAAGTACTAAAATAACATGGTCTACTTATACTGAAAATGGATACTTAGAATTATTAATAGTACCTGCAGAATAATTTGGAATACTGGCTACATTATCAGATATTATAATAATTAGACCATCAAAATTAGATGGTAGTGATGCTACACTAACATTTATTTTAGAATGGTCTTGGTCCTACACAGGTACCTAACCAACAACGAGTGCAAACTTATACACAATTGATAAAGTTGAAATGAATAACTTTGTTTCATAAGGCTCAGCTAATTGTAATACATCAACCAAGAAATGTACTAAATCTATTAGTTCTTTATAAACTACTGCAGCATATGTAATTGCTGAATCATCATTTACTACATAAAGTGCAGGAAGCAGATATTACACAAGATGCAGGTTAGGACGTTTCACTTGGGGTGGAAGTAGTTGTACTTGAGAATTTAGAATATTTCTATCTAATAAATTATTGTTAAAATTAATATGGATTTATTTAAATGAAAACTAAATGTGGCTCCATTCTTAAATTCTCTATTCACATCATAACTTTATATAAATTAAAAGATTTAGTCATTTATTATTATTTAAAATTTATATAATATTTTATTTATTTGATGATGTAATAAAATTAATTTATATATATTATCTTTTATTTATATCATTCCCCCTAAATTATACTCAAACAGGATGAATTTTTTTGCTCATACAGACAGCACTTTTAAAACTGATATAGGGATATTTTAAAAGGAAAATCTCTTGCATTGCTGCCAGATAACTTTATAGAAGTTGTGATTTTTATAATAGATTTTTATGATATCCAATCTTTGAATATATAATATTTTTATTTCATATTTCATATTAGTTTTTGAATTACTTGATTTTAATACTATGAAAATGTGTGCACTCTTTTACTTATCAATAATATTAATAATATATATATTAGATTCTTCATTTCTAATACAGGGTTAACTACTCATTCATTAATAGAAATAACAAAATAAGATTCTCTTTTGGTAGACTAATTAAATTAATTATTTAATGTAGGTATTACTTAAGTTTCTCTAAATAAAGCTATAAGTTATGTTTACAATTTTAAGACACAGCAGTACTAACATTAGCTTATAATATAACTCTTACTTAAATTCATAATATAGCTTCAACTGTTTTTAGCTACAGATAATTTACACAACATAGCAAATAAAACTGATGATACATACAATAAGAACATAATTAAATTATTAATTTCATGTTTAAGATAAATTTATTACTAAAGTTTTGAAATTCAAATGATTTCTTATAATTTTCTGTTTTTCTCATCTTCAATGTTCAAGTCTTTTTTATTCAACTCAATTTTTTATAAATTTCTTCGATAATTCATTTTAAAAAATCAATTGATTATCTGCATAAATAAGAATTTTCTAAAAATATATAAAACTTTTTATNATTATAATAATTAGACCATCAAAATTAGATGGTAGTGATGCTACACTAACATTTATTTTAGAATGGTCTTGGTCCTACACAGGTACCTAACCAACAACGAGTGCAAACTTATACACAATTGATAAAGTTGAAATGAATAACTTTGTTTCATAAGGCTCAGCTAATTGTAATACATCAACCAAGAAATGTACTAAATCTATTAGTTCTTTATAAACTACTGCAGCATATGTAATTGCTGAATCATCATTTACTACATAAAGTGCAGGAAGCAGATATTACACAAGATGCAGGTTAGGACGTTTCACTTGGGGTGGAAGTAGTTGTACTTGAGAATTTAGAATATTTCTATCTAATAAATTATTGTTAAAATTAATATGGATTTATTTAAATGAAAACTAAATGTGGCTCCATTCTTAAATTCTCTATTCACATCATAACTTTATATAAATTAAAAGATTTAGTCATTTATTATTATTTAAAATTTATATAATATTTTATTTATTTGATGATGTAATAAAATTAATTTATATATATTATCTTTTATTTATATCATTCCCCCTAAATTATACTCAAACAGGATGAATTTTTTTGCTCATACAGACAGCACTTTTAAAACTGATATAGGGATATTTTAAAAGGAAAATCTCTTGCATTGCTGCCAGATAACTTTATAGAAGTTGTGATTTTTATAATAGATTTTTATGATATCCAATCTTTGAATATATAATATTTTTATTTCATATTTCATATTAGTTTTTGAATTACTTGATTTTAATACTATGAAAATGTGTGCACTCTTTTACTTATCAATAATATTAATAATATATATATTAGATTCTTCATTTCTAATACAGGGTTAACTACTCATTCATTAATAGAAATAACAAAATAAGATTCTCTTTTGGTAGACTAATTAAATTAATTATTTAATGTAGGTATTACTTAAGTTTCTCTAAATAAAGCTATAAGTTATGTTTACAATTTTAAGACACAGCAGTACTAACATTAGCTTATAATATAACTCTTACTTAAATTCATAATATAGCTTCAACTGTTTTTAGCTACAGATAATTTACACAACATAGCAAATAAAACTGATGATACATACAATAAGAACATAATTAAATTATTAATTTCATGTTTAAGATAAATTTATTACTAAAGTTTTGAAATTCAAATGATTTCTTATAATTTTCTGTTTTTCTCATCTTCAATGTTCAAGTCTTTTTTATTCAACTCAATTTTTTATAAATTTCTTCGATAATTCATTTTAAAAAATCAATTGATTATCTGCATAAATAAGAATTTTCTAAAAATATATAAAACTTTTTATTTGATATTTCGTTTAAACGAATGATAAGATAACATTCAAATCAATTAAATATACAATAACATAAAAATACAACACATTTATATTAAAAATAAATAAATAAATGATATGTCTTTCAGAAAGGCAATTACAGAAAATCACAATTCATCAACATAGACCATTCATTTAACTACCTTTAATATCCAAATCTAATGAAACGCTTGTAATCATTCTTTAAATTAAAATTTAAGAGATTAAACAATTTAGCTTTGTTATCTGAAAGAAATAAGAAATAAACAATAAATCAATCCTCAGAAAAAGATGCTTATTTTCTCAAATTACCTAAAATACATCAAAAGACTCCAGAAAAAGCAGACACATAATCTAAATTAACATAATCTCAGGTATAATCATAAAAAATGTAAATTATTCACTTATTTTGAGGATTCAACAGGATCAATCATTTGATAATTTAAAAAAATATAATAAATAAATAAAAGATATTCAACAAAGACATAATCGATTTCTACACAAAATTGAAGAGTTATATATGATTACCAAATAACAATAATGAAAACTGTTTTCGTTCTATTGTTTGATTAATTAATTTAAAACTTATAAACTGTTAAATTTAATTCAATTGAATCAACCTTTTTTTGTGACACCGATACGATTATCAATATTGATTTAATCATAATTATGCTTTAAGTTATTTCTGATAAGATCTATTCTTGTTCAGGTAACTAGAAGTTGAATTTGCTTAATTTTTAATATTATAGATATTATTTTAAAATAAAAAAATTTCATTTTACAACAATATTAATTTTTATTTCTTATCATCTAAATGTGATTTTTTAAAGTAACTAAAAATAGACTCTATAAATAATTAAATCATTAAATAATATATTATGTAACCATTAAAATATTAAAATATAATTTCAATGATGTTTTCTGTTAATTCATATAGTTGTAAACATTTTATTTATGATGGATATTTAATATAAATTATTCTTAGTTTACAAATTGTTATGTGNTGATACATACAATAAGAACATAATTAAATTATTAATTTCATGTTTAAGATAAATTTATTACTAAAGTTTTGAAATTCAAATGATTTCTTATAATTTTCTGTTTTTCTCATCTTCAATGTTCAAGTCTTTTTTATTCAACTCAATTTTTTATAAATTTCTTCGATAATTCATTTTAAAAAATCAATTGATTATCTGCATAAATAAGAATTTTCTAAAAATATATAAAACTTTTTATTTGATATTTCGTTTAAACGAATGATAAGATAACATTCAAATCAATTAAATATACAATAACATAAAAATACAACACATTTATATTAAAAATAAATAAATAAATGATATGTCTTTCAGAAAGGCAATTACAGAAAATCACAATTCATCAACATAGACCATTCATTTAACTACCTTTAATATCCAAATCTAATGAAACGCTTGTAATCATTCTTTAAATTAAAATTTAAGAGATTAAACAATTTAGCTTTGTTATCTGAAAGAAATAAGAAATAAACAATAAATCAATCCTCAGAAAAAGATGCTTATTTTCTCAAATTACCTAAAATACATCAAAAGACTCCAGAAAAAGCAGACACATAATCTAAATTAACATAATCTCAGGTATAATCATAAAAAATGTAAATTATTCACTTATTTTGAGGATTCAACAGGATCAATCATTTGATAATTTAAAAAAATATAATAAATAAATAAAAGATATTCAACAAAGACATAATCGATTTCTACACAAAATTGAAGAGTTATATATGATTACCAAATAACAATAATGAAAACTGTTTTCGTTCTATTGTTTGATTAATTAATTTAAAACTTATAAACTGTTAAATTTAATTCAATTGAATCAACCTTTTTTTGTGACACCGATACGATTATCAATATTGATTTAATCATAATTATGCTTTAAGTTATTTCTGATAAGATCTATTCTTGTTCAGGTAACTAGAAGTTGAATTTGCTTAATTTTTAATATTATAGATATTATTTTAAAATAAAAAAATTTCATTTTACAACAATATTAATTTTTATTTCTTATCATCTAAATGTGATTTTTTAAAGTAACTAAAAATAGACTCTATAAATAATTAAATCATTAAATAATATATTATGTAACCATTAAAATATTAAAATATAATTTCAATGATGTTTTCTGTTAATTCATATAGTTGTAAACATTTTATTTATGATGGATATTTAATATAAATTATTCTTAGTTTACAAATTGTTATGTGAAAAAAATAAATTAAATAAATGAATAAATTAACTCTTATATTTAGATGTGAAAAATTGGAATAAAAGTATTAAGATTCTCGTTATTTGTATACACTTCCTACCTGTAGATCTTTGAATCTAGTCAGTTTTTTGCTTTGCTTATTTCGAAGTATAACTTTTATTTTTCAGAATCAAATGGTAGGTTTTTTTGTATTTCTCTTCCTCACAATCGTTGTCTTATTGGCCCAATTTTTGATTCTTAATAACAAAAGAAAATGGGTTGATTATTATTTGCTGTTTGTAAATCATTTTTTGATGTTACAGCAATAATATGTAGAGGATGAGTTTGAACCATAAGAAGCATTTGTATTTGGATAGAATTAAATGTTATTAAGTATAATGATAATCCTGGTTTGTGATTTTAAATTTGGGTTGATTTAGATATTAGGAAATATGATAATAAAAATTGTAATATCAAAATATTATCAGCCATCATTATCCTATTAAACTATACTTTATTCTATAATAATTGGATTGATGTTTCTGTATGCTATTCTAAAGATAAATTAATAATATAGATTATCATTTCTATTTACTACTCAAGATAGCTAACAAGGTATGAATCAACATAATTACAATTTTAGAATAATTGATACCTTTATTAACTGATAGTCCATTTATGCTGTGTACTTATGATAAAGAAAATTTGTAATTTTAATAAAAGTTCAGTAATCTTTAACATCATTAAGAATTCAAATAATATAAAACCAATCATGACGCTCTTAACTTCATTCTTCGAAATTACTTAGTGCATGGATAGTCTTTTGAAAAATTTTTGTTGAGTAGACAAAAAAAGTAAGATGATTTAATTGTTAATAAAATTTTAGAATTAAAATCAATCAATAAAAATCAAGTATAAAAATTATTCATTCGTTATTCTGAATGTTTTATTACAGAACTAATATACATATTAATTATTGATAAGAAAAGATAAGAGATACAAAATTTACAATAAAAATTAGTTAATTATGAAAAAGGATTAAATAAATTTTAAATCAATTTTAGAAATTTCATTAAAAATTAGATTCTTATTTTAGATAAATCACTAAATTACGATAAAAATTCTATTTATAAGGCGATTATCAAGTTGATATATATTTTTTCAAAATTTAATAATAAAAAGTCATGCAAAATCACCAATCAATAATTTCTATTAACTTTTAAAAAATATGCAAAATTGTATTCCTAGGCTTACGATTAAAAGAAAATCAAGATTGAGGTTTGTTCAGAAGTTAAAGATATACTCACAATTGAGAATTGTCTAGATGATTTTATGATAAACTTCTTTACTCATCTCTGTAAGACTAAAGCAGAAATAATATAAATATATCTTTGCAAATCCTTTTCTTAATAAAATGAATTTATTGACATTATTATTAAAGTAGATGTTATGTCAGAGCTATATATTTTATTGTAAAAGAGTACACATTTTAGAAGAATTTTAAAGACTATAAGTCCTCATGATTATGTAATATTAAATGATGATAGTAATTTTTATCAAAGATTTTTAGGTTTGACAGTACGTCTATTTAAAAATATGAATGAGATAAATCAATTAAATTCATTTTTTATAAAGGCTAACGACTTTAGATAAACGAAATGATTTATATTCTTATTTCAATTACTACTGTATTATAAAATAAATTAATTATGGTTTTGACATAGCAAATCACATAAATTGAAATAAATAATTAATTTAAATGAAAATAAGTGATCCTTTATTGGAGTACCAAGAAGTATAAACCCATAAAGATGATTGGCTTTACACAAAAATTTCAAAAATGATTAGATTGATTAATAATAATAGAGAATAATTATAAAATTAATCATTATAGGAATATTGTGTTAAAATAAGTGATTCAAACTACATACTTAAGTAGTACTCTAAGTATATTCTTATTAAATATGTTAGTATTGATAAAAAAACTATATACTCAAAAATAAAACAAATTTTAGTAAAGAATTTTGATAAATCTAGATAACAAACTCGATTTTTATTTTTATCCAACAAATATTTGCCTCTATCCTATAATTAGCAAATATCGTAATGTTAGATTTATTTACAGATTCGGTAAAAGACGAGAATAATTATTATATTTTGTATTTGATTTTGCTCTTAATCTTTTCATTTTCTAAGTAATTTAATATATAAGCAAATAGAACTTATTTAGTTTCAATTTAAACTCATTAAATAAGTGTATTTTTAGCTAAACTTGATGTCTTATGTAATTATGAATTATACAAAAAATTGCTTGCAACCCATCAACATGTTAATGATTAAAAAATCCCAAATATAAATGTAATAATTAATTGAATTTACCTTAGATCTTAATTACGAATGATATAGAATAAATTAAATAGCTTCATTTTTCATTAAAAGAAGGAACATTAGCTTGTTGTATGCTAATCGGATGCATATTATTTCTTTATTATAAGGATGTACATGCAGGAAATGTTATTTTAATAGTAATTGTTTGTGCATAAGTTTTCAACTTTTTTGTAACTTTTTTCATGATGTAAGCACAAGAACGAATGTTTTATAGAAAAGATTAAAGAATTAATTTGACAACTGATGTATTGCATGGTATTAAATAAATAAAATATCTTTCTTGGGAATAAATATTTAGTAATAAAATAATGTTCAAAAGAAAAATAGAATTTCAAATGCTGATAATTGTTAAAATATTTGATGGTCTTTTAGTATTATTTTGGAATAATATAAATTATATTTTGCTTTACTTTTATATCTTAAATAGTAAGGTCAATTTAATAGATTTAAATGTTTTTACATTGATAGCAATATTCAATTCAATGATGTAAGAAATCAAATTTAATATAATAGTTATCCTTTAGGAATATTGCCATTTTGTATTAATTTTCTACTTAGTGCTATTGTATCTATAAAAAGAGTCAATACATATTTTACTTAAATGGATGTTCTTGATATTTCATAAAATTAATTATCTGGGAATAATGAATTTATTTTGTAAATTTAAGAAGGAATTTATCAGTTAAGTGAAGACTTTAGTTTACAGATTTCAAATTTATTAATAAAGAAGCAAAGTCTAAATTTTATTGTAGGTCCTTTAGGATCAGGAAAAAGTACTCTTTTTAATGCAATATTAAATGAATTATAAAATATAAAGGAGAAATAAAAATAAATAGGAGGATCTATATCATTTTGTTCATAGAGTAGTTGGATATAAAATTAAACAATTCGATAAAATATATGTTTTGGGTCAGAATATAATTAATAATTATTTACAAAAGTTGTTGAATTATGTTAATTGAAGGAGGATATACAAAAATTAGAAAATTTTGATTAATATTTAGTAGGTCCTGACGGAAACAATTTAAGTGGTGGTTAAAAATAAAGAATAGCATTAGCAAGGGCTGTTTATTAAGATTCTGATATATATCTATTTGATGATATTTTTTCTTCTTTAGATATACCTGTTGCAGATTCAATATTTTAGAATCTTATATTAAATTATTTGAATAATAAGACAGTATTATTTATTACATCTAACTAACACTTTATCAATAAAATTCCAAAGAATGCAAATATAATATTTATGGAGAAAGGGTAGATAACAGAACAAAATATTAGTGAATCTTCTCTTATTAGAAAACTAAGTAAAAAGTCTGATGATTTAAATATTGAAGATGAATAAAATGAAAAAAAAGATGAAAATAATGATTAAGTATAAGAATTAGAGGAAAGAGAAGTAGGAGAGGTAGATATTAAAGTATGGTTATATTACTTTTCTTCAATGGCATGGCCATTAGTATTATTATATTTTATATTTAATTTCTCATTATAAGGTGCTTGTTCATATATTGATTTTTGGTTGAAAAATGAGAATTTTGATAATGATTTTTCTAAAAAATTTACATAACTTTTATTAATAGCTTTAAGTGTTACAGTATTTAGAGCTTTATTTTATGTTTTAGTTTCATTAAGATCTTCATGGACGATTTATAAATAATTAAATGATTCAATAATGAAAGCGAAAATGGTTTTTTTTGATAAAACTAATGCTGGTAGAATAATTAATAGATTATCAGGTGATATTGAAACTATAGATGGTTTATTACCATGGAGTTTTGATATATTTATGGAAGCTTTAGCAAGAGGTAGTGGATTTGTAATTGGATTAATTATTTTATTTCCATATATAAGTGTTGGTTTAATAGGAGTATTTTATGCTTATTATTATGTTGCTAATACTTATATAAAAACAAATAGAGAATTAAAAAGATTAAAATAAGTTAATCATGCTGAATTACTTGGATGGATTAATGAAACATAAAAAGGATTAAAAACTATTAGAGCTTAATAAAAATAAACATATTTCTTTAATTATTACTTAGATAAATTGAGAATATGGAATTCATGTGAATAAAGTAGTTTAAGAGCTAAATTTTGGTATTTTGTTAGATTAAATTTAACATGTAATTTATTATTGTTACTATCTACTGTAATAATTTTGATTAGTAATGAAAATTATGCTAGTAAAGCTTTGGCTTTAACTTATTCAATTCTAATCATAGATAATTTTAATGATTTATTTAATTTTTACTTATAAGCTGAATAGATGATAATATCTGTTGAAAGAATTAGATAATATTCTAAAATACCTCAAGAAGATATTCATAAAAAAAATTCATTAATAAAGACTATTAATTTTGATAATTCATGCGATTTAACAATTAAACCAATCGTTGATTTATATACTGATATAGAATTTAAAGAAATATGTTTATCATATGATTAAATTAATTATTAATTAAAATCTTTAAACTTAAAAATATAAAAAAATGAGAAAATAGCAATAATAGGAAGAACTGGATCTGGAAAGACATCAATAATGAATGTGCTTTTTTAACTTTATCAATAATAATAAGGTAATTTGATTATTAAGGGATAAGATGTAAATATGTTATTATATATTAGGTTTAATATTTATCACTTTAAGAATTACGTTCTTAGTTATCTATTGTACCTTAATTTGGATTTCTTTTTGAAGGAACTTTATATGAAAATTTAGACCCAGGATTAAGTATAGGTAAAGAAAAAATAGATCATCTTTTAAGTCAATTCAAATAATTGAAATCTGATTAAACTATTGAATAGGGTGGTAACAATTTATCCAATGGAGAAAAATAATTAATTAATTATTTAAGAATTATATTATAAGATAAGTCTATCATATGTTTAGATGAAGCCACTTCAAATATAGATCCTTAAACAGATAAAGTAATATTTATAAATTATTTAGTTACTCCATGAGTTTTTGTTTAAATTCACTGAATAAAAAACACTTATAGTTATAACCCATAGATTAGATTACTTAAATAAATATGACAGAGTCATTTATTTAGACCAAGGAAGAATTCTTAAAATAGAATCTATTGGGGAAAACAAAAATTGAAATATTAATTATAATTTATATTTATACCATACTAATAGAATTTCGTCGATGTGATAAAATTAACCTAAAAAGTATTCTAATATTATTTTTAATTGATGAATAAACTTAATAAAAATGCTTAAATAGAAAACTATGAGGTTAACTTAGAGAAAGGTCAACAAATAATAAATGAAGGATATTCGTATTTTTTTTCAAATATTAAATTAGATTTTCTAATTTTGTCGTTAAAGAGATTCAATAGCACCCATAAGTGCAAGGCATTATTGCTGCTACAAATTCTATGAGAATTAATAAAGGAGGAAAAAAAAATCAAAATTTTAGAGACAGTTTTACAAATCGTCAACTTGGTTATCAAATTTAATTTAATTCTAAATAAGAACATAATCTGAGCTTTTTAGGTTTTTATAATATAGTATTATTTCCTGAATTGTAAAATAAGTCTGTAGAAATTAAGAATGAATTCCAATCGAGTAGTTTCATGTTCGGAACACTTGAGATATTTTACTATTTTGTATCAGCCAAGATAAACTACAAAGAAATTTAAAATGTTAAACTACAAAAGTTAATTAAACCAGAAGAAAAATTTTAATATTCTGATTGTTGGATTTTAGCCTTGTGGTAATATACTGATTATTTTAAACTGATAAATTTCTACAACAATTTAGTTGATATAGGATCAAGTTATGTATAAATTTAATAAATTTTTGACAATTTCGAAATAATACTAAAACTACTATAACTATATTGTAGGTAGGATAATTCTTAATATGATATATTTAGTATAGAATCAGAGGATGATTTAGATGCATCTTTCTCAACTATTGATTCTCTATCTATTTTTGAGGACTCTTTAAAAATCAAATAATAACTCTATGAAAGATTAATAGAAGATCTTTTTAAGAATTAAAGTGATTAATAAGTCAAATAAGAAGCCATTACTTTTTGTTAACAATCCTTTTTGGATAAAGTTACTGGCTTTCATGCATTTTAAGTGGCAGAAAAAAGAATAGTAGGATTAACTAATTATTTATACAGAATTACGATGAACTTAATTGAAGACAGAATAAATGATTTTTTGTCAAATAAATACTAAATTTTAAAGTTAAATTAATTTTAATAGAATTTACTTTATATTCACTTATCTGACTATGATGAAGATGAAAAATAATAAAATCAAGCTTTTCAATTATTAATGGATTGCTTATTAAATGAAACTTTAAAAACTTTGAGCATAGCCTAAGGAACTTAATAAGTTAAATCACCTTTTGAAATATGGATTTAAGAAAACTCATTGAATAAGAAAAGCATTGAAAATTTATTTGGAAAATAAGAAGATAAAGATTAAGATTCAGGCTTAATTTCAACAAAATTTATATGGCATTAAAACCCTGTTATTTATAGAATTCAAGGTTTTTACTAATTGATGAAATTTGATATTACTCCAAATGAAAAAAAATAGATATTACTCAGTTAATAAATAATTTCCTAAAAAGATCAAAATAATGATGTAATAAACATGCTAACATTAGTTAAATAGCAATATGAATATCTCAAATAATTCTAAAAAGTTTAAGAATAAGAAATAATAGTTTAGAATATACCTAAAAACTTAGAGATTTAATAAACAAAGCAATCTTGATTATTTATAAATGAATTAGAAAATAATATTATTATTGTTCAAATATAGTTTTCTAGATTTTATAAATTGGATTAATGTTTCAATAAATTAAGTATATGTAATTAGAAACAGAATTAACTGAATATGATGCTCAATCAAATTCATCACCAAATTCTCCAAAAAAAGAAGGCACATATAAAACCTTTAGAGCAGATTAAAAATGCAAAACTATATTAATGATTGTATTTTATATTTGTTCATTTTTTTAATTTGATGGGTGGTAAAGCATTATATTTGTCGGAATATATGTGTTAATGCTAATAAATAATAGAAAGAATATAATTGATTTAGTTTTTGTCATGATAGCATTGATATTAAGTATTACTAATTTATGTGTTGAATACAATTTGTTAGGGATTTCATAGATAATAATGAGTTTAAATATATTAACATATCCTTTTTCATAAAGAATGATAAAAGAAATTAAATTGGTTTGGTTTGAAATAAAAAATTTATCAATAACAATGTTTTTTATTTTGTGTTTATGTGCTTATTCAACAACTGCTTATTATGATGATGATATTGAATTAGAAATGTATTATGGTACATTTGGTAGATCAGTATTAACTTTTGTATAAGCCTTAAGTTTGGATGATTGGGCTTAAATAGGAAGAGAATCTGATGATTTGTTTGGATATTTTATATTGTGTATTTATATTCTTTTAATGACTTATTTCTATTTAAATATAATGATGGGTATATTGATTGAAACATTATAATTTGAGAAAAAAGGTAATCATTTAGATGATCCTTTTAATTATGAAATTCATTAATAATAAATATTATCTGAATTAATTAAAGAATAGAATTTATTTGATAAATGTATTATTGGTAATTATTATGAATTTATTGTGTTCATAATAAGTTTTGGAGGAATATTCATTTCAATACTTGAACATTTTGATCATGGAGATAGTACAAGCGAATTAGTAATTGAATTGATAGATGATGGATTGTATACAATACATTTTATAATATTGATAATTAAGAAAGGTCCAATTTATGATTTAGAAAGAGAAAACAAAATTGTTATGCTTTTACATTTTATAGCAGGGTATAGTGATTTTTTAGTATTATAGTCCTTTGTCTTTAATTTTTTCATTGTTTTTTCTTGAAATAGGTTGTTTATTAAATTTATTAAAAATTGCAACTACCCCATCTATTAAAGGTATATTTGTTGGAACTATCGATATGTTACCTTTATTAATGCCATAATTTACAGAACTATTTGGAATTTTAATGTTTATTGCTAGTATATTGACTTCTAATTATTTTGCATATACAGGATTAAAATAATAAGAGTATTTTTCATCTTTTTGGGGGTCTTTCTATACTCTTATTTAAATCATGACATTAGATGGTATTATTTTCTTAATATATTTTATTAAGATTGGGGGAATATTGTTGAACCAATGTATTCAAAGCATGGATTTATATTACCTTATATAATTATTCCAGCTTATATATTTTTAAGTAATTTTATTATCTTGAATACTTTAATTGCATTAAGTTGTGAATATTTTGTAGAAGTCAAATATTATTCTATTGAAAAAGATCAAAGTGATGTTAGATGTTCTCAATTTGTTACTATCAATGAATTGAAGAATTATTGTAAATAAAATTAAAGTAATTTATAGTATCATCATACTTAAGTGCCTTTAAATATTCCATATGTCATTTTTGGTTAGCATGAATAATTAAACTCTAAAATTAAATCAGACACCATAATTTAAATTTAATATAGGAATCTTTTATTTACTGCTCAGGTAACTTAATAATCTGATGAGTTATGATATAAATTAGAATATTTGAAGCTAACTTATATATTTAATTAAATACATTTTTTTTTATAAAAATGCAAACCTATTACAAATTGGCATTCAAAACTCTCAAAAATTTTTATGATCTCAAAATCATCAGTGAAACAGAGAAAACCTATATGAAACAATATATCCTTAGTCTAAATGTACATTCTGAAATAGAATTGGATGTAGACTAAATTTCTAAGTTTATTCTATAAATGATAAAAAAGATCAGACAATCTGATATGAAAAAACATATTAAATAAGATAGTTTAATATCTATTGGAGAGGAAACTGATGAAGATGACCTTATATGATTACAAATTTCTCAAAATCCATAACTTATGGAACTACTTTGATTTTATATATTTAACAAATTTCCACTATTACTTTTAATTACAAATTTTTTTGATTTTATGTTTCGAAAATTCTGAATTCTAAGAGTTTCATAATTAATTAGTTTCTTAATCGTCTAATTTATTTGTGATAAAAAGTCTTGAAAAAAGGAAATAAATTTAAAAAAAAAAATATTATTGAAATTAATGCATTATTAAACACAATTTATGAGAATGATGTGTTCGATTATTATGCAATAAAAAATTTGTTCAAATCCTAATTATATTTCGTTTTTTCTTTTAATATTTTAGATATAAATTAAGATGTTCATACTCAACATGTTTAAAAGTCTTTTAGGTTCTTTAGGACTCTACAAAAAGAATGCAAAAATATTGTTTTTAGGGTAATTAGAAAATTCTAATATTTGGATAGCCTTGATAATGCAGGAAAGACAACTCTTTTGAGAAGATTGAAAGATGATAGAATGGTTTAACATGATCCAACATTGCATCCACATGCAGAAGAATTAGTTTTAGGAAATGTTAGATTCAAGGCATTTGATCTTGGTGGTCATTAAGCAGTTAGAAAAACATGGAAAAATTATTTTCCGACTGTTGATGGAATCATTTATCTTGTTGATTCAGCAGATTCATAAAGATTGAAAGAAAGTAGAGATGAATTAGAATAAATATTAAATACAGCAGAATTAGCAAAAGTATACGATTATGAATATTTACGTTTAGGTTCCAATAGTAATTTTAGGAAATAAAATTGATAAGCCAGGAGCTGTGCCTGAAGAAGAATTAAGATAAGCTTTAGGAATAAATGTTAAATAATAAATCAATAATAAAAATATTAAAGAAATTGATGGAAGACCTGTTGATGTATTTATGTGTAGTGTAGCAAACAGAGTAGGTTATGCTGAAGGGTTTAGATGGTTGTCATAATTTTTAAATTGAAATTTATTAGTATATGTATTTTTTTCTTTTTAACAATAAACCTTATGTTAATAATTTAAATCAATAATTTAATATAAGAATAGATAAAATATAATCACAAGTAATCAGTATTCTCAATGTTCACATTTTACTATTTTTTTTTATTTTGATATTCTCTTTTTATTTTCGCAATCATTGCATTTACAAATTGATGAACATTTTTTATTTCTAATAAAACATTCACAATAATTCTTTTTGCATTGTGATTTTTTACATTAACATCCCCAAACAGTTTTCTTATCAAATAAATCCTCATCATATTTAAGTCTTTGTTATTTTATTTTCACTTTTTCTAAAGCTTAATTTCTGATTTAAGAATAATCTTATTTATTATGACAATCATTGCATTTGCATAATTTTGAGCATTCAATATTTCTATGAAAACAAGCACAGTATAATTATAAACAATGTGATTTATTACATTTGCAAGGTAAATTTAGTTAATTTTAATCATCCAATTATTGATCAAAAAATTCCTAAAATTATTTACAAAGTTAATACATTATAATTTGTGGTTCTTCTAATTCTCTTTTCCTTCAAGTTATAGTTCTGATTATATGTATCAATTTATTCAAATTACTAGAAACTAGTTGTTTAAAGTTTCTCTTCTATTAAATCACTAATTATAGGAATTCTTTATTCTTATTCATAATCACCTATATTTTAAAACTTTTCATTAATTAAGAAGTCCTAATCTGAAAAAGTGCTCCTAGACTTATTATTTATATTATTACTAGTACTTTTGTAAAGCAGGCTATGGAAAATTCTCGAAATATTGATCTAATTCTTGATCTTTAGGGTATGTTTAATAGTTAGCAGTAACATCTGAATGTTTTCTTATTTATGGCTCCTAATTAATTGAAGACATCAGTAAAATTAAGAAAATTTTATTAATGACGATTAAATAACTATAAATCTTATTAATTTAATTTTTTATTCATTTTTTTATATAAATATTCTTTTTGAACATAAAATGAGCTTTTTATGCTCTAAAAGAACATCAACCTTGTTTATTTTTTATCGCTAACATTTTTAATTAAAGTCGAATAAAAATTTTATCGATACATAAAATATGTAATTTACCATTTTATTTAATTTAAATTTATATGAATCTCTTAGATTTCAAGTTTATTATTTTCATAGCTTATAACAAATACCAATAGTTCTATTTCTATCCATATTGCTATTTTAACATAATTACAATCATAATACGACATTAATAATTAAATTCTTATTTTAACATGGGATCATCTTGTAAATCAATAAAAAATACAAAAGAGTCTAATGATTTTGATATTCCAGAATAAGAAGGAACAATAAAAACTCTTGGTGATGAGCCAATTCCTAAGAAACCTTATTGTTGTCTTTCAAATGAATTAACTGAACAAACTGATAATCTTGCAGAATTAGAAATCACAAAACACACAGGAATACCTGAAAATTAAATTTTCCATAATTCAATTCTTTACTCGAGAGAGATTATTCAGTCTTAATAATTCTAATAAAATAGTAAGCCACGTTAAAAAAAGAGAACGAATAGAGTTAATAAAAATACTGGAGCACATTATGAAAAATAATTATACAAATAATTAAGGATGAATATTTTATCTCCTGATGGAATAATTAGAAAAATATATTGAAATACCATGAACTTTGTTTTATATAAAATTTGTCTTTTTATATTTCATAAAAAATGCATTATTTAAAACTATCTATTTACTTCTCTATCATAAATTACCAGTACAAGAGAAAAAAGTTACATACTCATCGTTTTTTAAACTACTTTTTATTTTTAATTTATGACCTTTTGTTGCTTGTTATCGATTTTTAAATTTTATTCTTTGTTCTCTAAATATTGAAATTGCCTTAATGTATTTGATTATTTTTTTTTGCGCTTATTTTTCTTTATTTTCTAAAATAAATCAAAATTATCAGATAAATATATATTTACTAAAAGTCATTTTTGTAAAGATTCAAAATTTATTTATTCTATAATAAAATAAAAGAAACCTGAATATTTCAATTTATTTATATAATCATTCCCTTTATCTGTAAAGAAAGTTTATATGTCATTTTTTATAATGTTAATCTTTTTACAATAAAAATTTAGTTTATCAATTTTCGTAAAGATATATA